CAAACAAAACAACCTTTTGACTAGTGGTTTTTGGATCAATCAGTGATCTGTTCCCATGTTAGGAGTTTATAAAACGGAGATTTAAATTTTTTTTTTATCAGCCTTTTAAATGTATTAGTTGATGGCATTCTACAGAGAAGAGCTTCCCATTACCTGTCCCCCCCGCTTCCTCCTCTAGAAGCAGACTTATAGGTTTTTAAAAAATATTCAATATGGTGTTATCCGTTACCATCATTATATGCCCATGAGTTTTTTATTTTCTATTTTGTTTTTAAAAGATTTCACTGATTTATTTTTTGAGAGTGGGGATGGAGGGAGAAAGAGAGGAAGAGAAACGTCGATGTGTGAGAGAAATATTGACTGGTTGCCTCTGGCATGCCGCCGACCGGGGCCCTGGCCCGCAACCCGGTCATGTGCCCTGACCGGGAATTGAACCAGCGACCTTTCAGTTTGTAGGCTCAATCCACTGAGCCACGCCAGTCAGCGAAAGGGTGTTTTTTTTTAATGACTGTATTTACTTTTCATAGCTGCCTATTTCTTCCTCACAGTCTTGCTTTTCCTATAATTTTCATTTATTTTTTAAAAAGCTTTCACTAATATCTTGAATTATAAGTTTTATTGTTTTTTTGTTGTTGTTATCTCAAGTTCTTGGGAGTCCTAATTTTGTTTTAGCTGGCTTTCACTTATGGTGTTCATTTTTCTGATACATTTAATAGGTTTTTATGTTGAGCGTATCTTCAGTGGGACTTTTAAAGAGCCCCCCTCCCCGACCTGGGAGTCTTGCGTGGCCCTCTTTGTGGGCGTGGCCCTCTTTGTGGGCGTGGCCCTTCAGTGCTTTCCCATCGCTTCGGCTCTGTGTGCCAGGGCGTCGTTGACTCGGGGAGTCTTAGTTAATTTCTTATGTTTCGGTTCCTGTGCTGGTAAACGGGGTCAGTCTGAGCTCCATTCGCCCTGGGCTCTGAGTTGTCAGCAGTAGAACAGTATCTTCATTCCCATAGGACACCTTTCTTTTGGAATCCATAACTAACTTAGTCAGGTGTCTAGTACCAACCGTACAGGAAGGAGCAACTGCTTGTCTCTGTTTCTACGGCAAGAGCCGGGGGAATGTTCTGAGTGTTGGGATCACAAGCAGTAGAGCATCTTCAAGAACGGCCTGGCCCAGGCACGCCCCCTCAGAGCCCCAGTGCCTGGTCATGTCCGAGAGTGAGGGGCAAGCTCAGTCACCCCCTACCCCAGGCACCGATGAGGCGACGGGCGCCCACAGCGGGCGAGTGACTCACTCAAGATCACGTAACTGGACTGGGTGGCAGGGAGCAGGCAGTCAGGCCTCCGAGTGGCTCCTTCCACCCAACCAGTGTCCAGTCACCCAAGGACCGGGTCCTGCCCCAGGCAGCTCTGGACTCCCACAGCGCCCTGGCCCTCGCCTCTCCCGTGGGGCGCAGAGAGGAGCTCCGGCGGGGAGCGGAGGCCCAGCTGCGGCCGGCGAGCTGGCTGTCTGCGGCCTTCCTCCCAGGGGCTTATCAGATGCACGCTTCGACACATGTCGCTGGGCTATCTGCGCAATCAGATTTTTGAAGAAGTGTTTTGAATCCTTGATTTATCTTTTTGGCATTGTTTTTCATAATAGTTTTCATTCAAAGGCAAGAACATGCTTTTAAACTGACCTTTTAAACCCTGTAACGCTCGTGCTACAAAGGGACACATGAAAGGAACAAAAGGCACATTCCCCAGGCGTGAGCGCGCTGGGAGTCTCCTCCGCTGGGCGGCCGGGGGAAACGCACACAAGGCGTCCGAGAGGGGCTCCCTCGGCTGATGGATGGGGCCCCGGGAGGGTGGAAGTCCCATGACCGGGAGCGGCCCAGCTGCACCCTGCGCGGCGGGAACACGGCCCCCGCCCTTTCCCCACAGCGCGGGGCCACCCTCGTGCCCTCCTGGCTTTGCCCTTGGGAGCCAGGAGGGCCTCTCGGGAGGTTTGGACTTTGTCCCGAAGTCCCCAGGGAGCCATGGAGGGCTCTGGGCAGGGAGGGAAGTGTCAAGTAGAGGAAAGGGCGAGAGAGCATTTGGAGACAGTGGCCTGGGTTTGAGTCCTGGCTCTGTCACTTCTAAGTTGTGTAACCTTGTATGAGTCACCCAGCTTCTATGAGGGTCACTTGATACTGGACGTTCATTTAGGAGTGTCGCCTGAGTGCTGGGTGTATGGGACACAGAGGTGGCCCGTAGAATCCCCTGCAGTCCTCTGTTCCTCCCTCCTTGGGTATGTCCCTTGCCCCGGTGTTGGTTTCCCGTGGCTGCTATAGCAAGTTAGGACAGGCTTCGTGGCTTCAAACAGCGTGCATTTACTGTTTGTCCTGAAGGACGGAAGTCTGAAGTCAGTTCCTCTGGGCTCCAGCCACCGTGTGCGCAGGGCAAGTTCTCTCTGGAGGTGCGAGGGGAGAGTCCGTTTCCTTGCCTGGTTCAGCTTCTGGTGGCTGCCCACGGTCCCGGGCTCGAGGCCTCTTCCTCCGGCTTCGCAGGGCATCACCCCAACCCTTGCTTTCATCGTCACACCAGCTCTCCTCTCCTGTGTCCAATCTCCTCCTGCTTCCCTCTTGTGAGGACACTTGTAGTTACACGGGTCTCACCTGGCTAATCCAGGCTAGCCTCCTCCCTCTCAAGCTCCTTAACTTAACCCCATTGGCAGAGTCCTCTTGACCACGTGAGGGACCATTCACAAATTCTAGGGCATGGATTTCCCTGGGGGCCAGTGTTCAGCCTTCCCTTCCACCTCATACGGCAATTTATGTCTGTCGGTTTTCCGTGGGCAGGGAGACAGGCCTGCCAGCTAACTGCCACCTGTGTGCCGCTTGAGTGGGTGCAGAAATGAGGGAATGTGTGCTCTGGAGCTAAGAACACGGTGACATCCCACTTGGGCTGTAGAGGATTAGTGAGGGTTTCCCGATTAGTGTCTGGGCGAAGTGAACAGCTTAGGAAAAGGTATAGAGGCACAGGCTGAGAAGTTCAGCACCGGGGCGGGGGAGCAGGTGCAGTGTGTGGGTGCAGAGCGGGGTGAGCTGGGCGGTGGGTGGCCAGGTCACAGGTAGCCCACAGGGCACCATATCTGGCCCGGATCTGTCTTTAAAAGGAAGTGCTAAGTGCGGGGGGTCTTCGGAGTCATTGCCTGGGTTCCGGTTCTCATGCTGCCACTCGCGTGCTGTGTAACTCTGGGACCGTCACCGGACCTGTCTGAGCCTCAGGGCAGTGCCTGCTTCCCAGGGCTGTTCGGAGAGGCGGAGGACTTCTGCTGCTTGCAAAGCATTCAGCGCGGTGCCTGGAGCAGCAGGAGGAGTCAGATAACAGTATTTGCTGTGTTTTATTGTTGTCGTTTTTATGAGTATGGTTATTGATCATGGTGGTGATGCGGAACCTTTGAAGAATGCCAGCCAGACAGCAGTATGGTCAGATTTTCTGTTTTAGAAAGATGCCTTTGACACCCACGTGAAGATGTGGGGGGGCTGGCATGGGGTGGGGTGTTCCACTGGGGGGGGGCCTGGAAACCAGTTAGGAGGCCACTGCAGTGACCTGGGTGAGAGAGGGAGAAGCAGAGAGCAGAGGCGTCGTGGCCGGCTGGGTGTTCCGCAGATGTGTGGAGCAGCTCCTGCCATTCTCTGCTCTCTGCGTGTGGAGCCCGTCCACACCTGTGCCTCCTCGGTCACCTGGGCCTCGGGCACCTGTGCTTCGGTCACCGCTTCTCAGACAGGGACACTGATGGGCAGTGGGGGAAAGGCACCTCGTCTTGGTCTCCGGGTGAGACGGTGACAGAGGTTTAGACAGAGGTGGGATTCGGGTTCTCAGCCATTAGTGGTGGAGGAGCCAGTGGGGGTGGCAGGCGGCGGCTTCTGGTGTGAGTGCTGGGGCCTGGGGAGGGCTGGCTCTGGCTCCGGCTCCGTGCTGACCTTTCACGTCCTCTGTGGCCCGGCCATGCCTCAGCACCGCTCCCCTGCCCCTTCTTTCACCATCACCGCAAGGCTGGTGCAGAATCCTGGTAGCTAGGGCACAGGGACACGGCGAGTTTGAAGGGAGAAAATGGCTTGACGAGTGGGAGGGAGTCGGGAGAGCTCCGCGTCCCAGCCCCCGAGGAGGAAGCCCGGAACCCGGAGCAGCGTGTGCTCGGGTCGGGTACGGCGCGTCCTTGGCGGCCTCCCCTCACGCCCCTCCATACGTCTCCAGGAGGAAGCCAATTCAATGGAACCTGCCGTGGCGAGATCGCAATTGTTACTTCAATCATATCTTACCCTGCAAGGATGCTGGAGGAAGAGATATTTCAATGCCACCATCAAAAGAGCTGTCATTTTTTTAACAGAGTAAACGGGTTTTCAGAGAGTGATGTCATGCTGTTATTTTTAATACGTTCTTTTTAGAAAGTGGTTTTACTTTAGTTCAGATGGATGCTTGCTGGAGGGGGGGAAACCCAAAAGAGGAGTAAATACAGGTAGGCCGTTTTAAGAAATTCCTCATGGTACTCCGGAGTTTACACGTCAGAAGCACAGCAGAGCTTTTCACCAGGAGAAGGGTGTAGGACAGGTCCTTTGGTGCCTTTCAAATGGCGGCTGGTGGCTTTACGGGAAAGCTGGGGAAAGGAAACAAAGGCCGTAGAGACAAGACGAGAATGACCCGTGTCATGGCTGCATGGACCTGTGTGTGTGTTTCCCAGCAGTGTCACGGTGACACCAGCAAACTGACTTGTACTCTGTTCTCGGCAAGCGTCAAACGACACTGTCTGGTGAGTGCGTGCATGTGTGTGTGTATTTGTGAACAGTGTCGGAAGGCACCTTGGAGACAACTTGGTTCCATCCAGTGGAACCTTTGGCTCAGAGAGGGCCAGGTGCACAGAGGGGCGGGGCTGGGGCCAGAGGGCACCCCTCCTGTCGCCCGTCCCTGAGCCCCCCCAACCCCCGTTCTCCTCGGAGGTTTGCATCTCTCTGCTGTCTCCTCTGGTACATTGTCATTTTCTTTTTTTCTAGGAAGACTCAGTTGCCAGTGTCCAGCAAGGCCGACGGGGAGCCGGGTGCCCTGCAGCTCGGTAGGTGTGACCGCTGCCTCTGGGCTGTGCCTCCCAGGGCCCAGGGGTCCTCGTCTGGAGGTGCTGGGTGGCGGGGCTCTCCATGGGATGGGGTGGGGCTCCTTTCTTCCCCCGTGACCTCAGGAAGCTTTTCTCATTTTGGTTGATGTCTTCTTTCCCTCCCAGAGAAATTCTCATAAGAAATCTGCGTTTCTGGATCCATAGGGCGGTGGAGGGGAGGCAGAGGAGTCTTTGCTGCATTTGGAAGTTCTCTCAGGGCCAGTCAGAACCTGCAGAGGTCTCCAGGAGACCGCTCTCAGTCAAAACGTTAGTTTGGCTGTGCCTGGGGAAGTCCATTCTTCTGAAAAGTGCGTCTGACTGAGGCGTGCACTGGGGACTGTGCAGTGCAAGTGCCGGCCCTTCAGTGCTCAGTGCTCCGGATAGGCAGGTACACACTGCAGCAATGCCTCACGCACTCTCTATGCTTGCAGCTGTCTCTCTGCCCCTTCCTGTGGTTCCTGCTCCTGGTCGTCTGCAGGGCTTGGCAAAGGCAGCGGTAGAAGGGAGGATGGCGCAGTGGCGCCCAGACAGGAGACGCGGAGGTGTGTGTGCCTTCACGTTTGCTCTGCTTCTGGCAGCCAGCAGTTTACCTGTCAGGCCGTTCCGGCCCAGAGAGCTGCTCACACACGTGCCCCGTCCTCTTAAGCGTTTCCTTTCAGCCAGAGGGAGAAGGCCGTGGGTCCGGTAGCAGCTTCTGAGTGAGACAGGCAGGCTCGAGGCTCGCTTTGATGAAGTTGAAAGGCAGGGGTTTGTTTACCCCGCTCTGCTCACTTCAGAGGTGACAGGTCCTCAGTTTTAAGCATCAGGAACGGCAGGCGGGGGTCGCCCGGCCCGCCCAGGAAGGGCCGCGCTCTGCACGTGGCTGTGGTGCAGAAGTGAGCACGGAGCCAGGAAGCGCTGGCGTCTGGGGCCCTTCTGCAGAGATCCTCACTTGAAGATTTTCCACCGAAAGCCACTCCTGTTTGGACATCAAGCCAAGCCGTTCCCGGTCTTCAGAGCCCAGCGGGCTTCTAATAGAAGGAAGGCTTTTAGCAAATCTCTCAGAACCCGGCACTTTGAAGTGTCTGTGTTTTCCAGAGAGAGGCAGGCCCCTCCTGGCTCGTGGAGCAGCTAAGGATTCCGAGAAGGAGGAGAGAGAAGAGCCCGTGGAACCCAGTCACCAAGAGAAAGGGGAGGGGCTTTGGCCTGGGGGCAGGAAGAAGGAATCCAATTTGGTGAGAAGGACAGCAGGCTCTTCCCCACCCCAGGTCACGTCTTCTTGGTCCAGTTCAGCAAACGTGTCTTGGCCATCACGTGACCGCTGCAAGAAAATGGTGGGGAGTCCACCTGCCTTCCTTCTTGGGGGGCAGGGCGGTGGCTCAAGGAAGAGCGGTGCCTCCCAGTGCAGTGCGGGAAGCACCCAACCCGCGGTTCTTCACTGCTGCAAGGGCGGGCCAGCCTGGTGCGGTGGGGGGTTCGGGAAGCGTCCGCGGCGAGCTGGGATTTAGACTGAGCTTTGCAGGGTGGGCAGGGTCTGGCCAAAGGGGGCTGTGAAATGGCCCACCTGGGCCAAGGCCTAGAGTGTGAGACAGAGAGGTCGGCTTGAGGTGACCTGCCTGTGGGGGAGGTTGTGGGGCCCCTGGAGAGGAGGCTGGGGTGGACAGGGGTGGTCTTGAGTGACGTGTGACAGGGTGTGGCTGTCCACCATCGGCCAGTAAGGAAGGGTCTGTGCTGGTGAGGGAGGCGTCCAGGGCCACGTGTTTGGGGCTCTCTCTGCGTGCGTGGGGGATGGACTTTAGGAGTAAGAGCCGGGATGCTGGGAGACTGGTGAGGGGGCTCCTGGAATAGTCCAGAAAAGAGGTGATTGGTCCCCTGTTCTATATGGGGAAGTGCTATGGGTATTTGAAGTCCCTGCTCAAACATTCACCTCCCGTGGGATGCTTCCCTGGCCTTTTGATGAAGAGTTGCTTACCTCTTTCCCTCTGCTCTTCAAACCTGCGCACTCCTCTCCGTTTTAGCGCTGATGCTGTATTCTCTGTGGGGGGCTCTGTGTCCCCCCTGCCCAGGCGGGGGTCTTCTTGAAGGTGCGGGTCATGTTTGAATCCTCACCTCTTCCCTGTCCTGCCTAATCCCTGGCACGTGGTAAGTGAAGTGCTTGATGAGCAAATAGGAAAAGAATGACTCATTCCTGTATCAGTGGAGAGAGAAAGGGCGGGGCAAGGCAGGAGGCATGTGGTCCAGGGGCTGGCGCAGCGCGGCATGTGGGACAGGGCGGGGTCTCAGTGAGGTCCCCAGTGGGGGGCTGGGGAGATGGAGTCTGTCTCCAGAACCCGAAGCTGGGAGGAGGGGGACTGTGTTGAGTACTTCCAGAAGATACCTTATAATAATCAGTAAGAACTACCGAGCAGGCACCTGGAGAAAGAAGTGCAGGGGTCTCCTATATTTTCTTCCAAGTGGTAAATGAAATGGGAAGGGAAACAAAATCTCTCGCTTCCTTTCAACCAGCTATTTGTGCCAGGGCCTTAAAAATAGCTCCTCAAACCACCGGCATCCGTGGACGGTTGTGTCCGCCTGGCCGGCGTGTCATTCGGTAGGGCTTTGTTTTCCCTTGCGTGGCGGTCCTGCCGCATCTGGGCCCAGGGCCCGCCGTGCGGTCCTGAACCAACGCCCCGAACAGGGGCCAGCGTCCTCCTGGCAGAAGCCAAGGCAGGCTGCCACCTCCTGGGGCCTCTGCCCGCTCCGCTTCCCCGGAGCCCCCAGCCTCCACCCTCAGACGTACTCCGTGGGGCCCAGGCAGAGCGCATGCCAGCCCTGGCTCCCTCCCAGACAACCTCAGACCGAACAGAAGCCCCCAGGTGGGCTTCAGGGTTGCCCCTTCGGTTCCTCCAGGAAACAGCCGGGCCTGAGGCAGCGCAAGGAGCCCTTCGGGGCCTGGTGGAATCACTCGGGTCACTCTCTCCCTCTGTTTGGGGATTCTGGGGTCTATGGTTGAATCATTTCCATTTCTCCAGCAACAGTTCTTAGTTCTGATCTTTGCAAAGCCTGCCCTCCCTCCCTCAGTCCCTCTCTTCCCTCCCTCTTGTCTCTTCCTCCTTATTTTCCTTTGGCCCCGCCCCCCAAATCCCCCTGACCCTCTCCTCCATCGGCAACCATTCCCGAGTGTGCGGCCTGTTTCTTGGGCGTGTGCATGTCCTTGAAAATGTGTGCCGTTATTTGGTGTGCATGTGTTGGTAATGGATGCAGATCCCATCTGCTTTCTTACTTTCTCTACCCGGCACCACATTTTCAAGCTCCTTGCGTGTTGCTGGGTGAACATCTGGTCTTTATTTCAGGGTATTTTTTGTAAGGCCATGGTCACGGGGTGGCTTTTTCAGAGACCCTAACTATGAAAGGTTCTCATTTAAACCCCAAACTTATTAAAACATTGTTTTTCAGAGTAAGAGTGGAATCTGCCTCCTCTTTGGGGGACTATGCCTCGCGGCGTTGGCCAGGGCAGAAAGGGGGGCAGTGGGATAAGAAACAAGATGTGTCCGGGCCGTGGGCCTCTGGACGCTGTCTCCAGGAGGTGTGGGGCAGGGGCAGTGATGTGTCTGCGGCCCCAGACACACAGAATTATGGGAAAGAATGTTGATATCTGTACAGTGTGGTGCGTTTTTCAAATTATCGTTTAATTTTTGGGAAAAGGGGGAAAGAATAGGAGGCTCCCCAGAGAGCAGCCCGCTGAGCCCTGCCACCGCGGCTGCCCCGGGCGGTGGGCCCGTGGGCCCTTCCGAGGCTGCTCTGGAACTCGGTGCGGCAGCGGGCGGATGGCGAGAGCGCACCTCGGCTGCTGGGGAGGCGTGGGCTGGGGCTGCGAAGACTCACCGGGGCCCTGTCCGGGCCTCTGTCGCCCCAGCCGTTCGGTGGCAATTGTGCCTGGAATGTGACCGGGTGTCCCTTCTAGCTGGAGGTCCGGGGACGTCTGGCTGGCAGGAAGGCTGCCCGGTGAAGAGTCACCCTGGGTTTCATCCTGTCTCTGCTGCTTCCCATGGGCCTCAGTTCGGGCTGGTGACTAACCTTCTCTAACCCTCGGTTTCCTCATCCGTCAGCGGGGAGGAGGGCTGTGATGGCTGCTCCCTCGGGGGGCTGTTGGGGGGGGCTAGGCGATAAAACGGGAGTGGCTTGTAAATGAAAACCCCGGCGGTGATGATCTAGTATGATGTTATCAGGAATGGTGGCATTTCCCGGGCCAGTTCTGCCCTCTTCATATTTGGCCTCAGGGGACAGATGTGTGCCTCGCGCCCACCTTTCATAAGAAATGTGTCTGAGCGAGGCCTTTTTGGATGGACTCTCAGGCCCACGCCCCAGGCAGTTTCTTCACCGTGTGCCCACAAGCAGAACTTCCCAGGGGACCCACAGCCGTGTCCCACCCGCCGGCAGCCTTGTGGCGTGGGCTGGCGTGGGGTTTGGACGAGGAGCAGGCGCTCTCACTCCGCCTTTGCTCCTTCTGAGGCGCCTTGGAGCCCCGAGGGGAGCGGGGTGGGTGGGTGGGGGGGAGCCGCCTTTCATTCAAAGCACCTCGGGACTCAGCAGTGCACCCCAGAACTCATTACGTGACTTGGCGTTTGTGTTCTGTTCTCCGTGAGTTACGATGGGAGCTCACACGGCCAGGGCTCTCTTGCAGAGGATGTGGAGGACGACGAGTCGGTGCGGGAAGAAGTCATTCTCTGTCCGGCCCCGCCAGCGCCCAGGCTTCAAACAGTGTCAGAGCCCATCGACCTCTCAGTGGCCAAGGTAGGTGTCGGCTTGAAAGTGCGAGTTGGCCCACCCTGATTTGCGTGGGTGTGGACGAGGTGCTTGTATCCCTCTGGCCCCACCCATCTCGGTGTAACGTCTCGGTCATTGTTACCATGGAAATTTGGGTGGGATGCGGAAGCAACCCTGCACGGAGAGGCAGGAAAGGGGGCCTCATCCTGGCAGCTCCCAGCCCTCTCCGCCTCCTCCCATCCAGACACTCCAGGGTCCTGTTCTTCTGTCCCTGAGCAGCCTGGCTGCGCCTTGTTGCAAGGCGCAACAAGGCCCCAACTTGGGGCCTCCCAAGTTGGCATGGCAATGGGGCGGCTGTCCCTATTAGACTGGCCCTGCCCCTGCTCGTGTCCTCAGGCTGGGTCGCAGTGAGGAAGGACGGGGAGGCACTGACTGTTCCTCAGCGCCCTCCGGGTTGGCACCAGTGGCTTCCCAGAAGGACGCCTGGGGAGCAGGTCCCTGGCCATACATAGCAGCCTCCTCTGCAGGGGTGCCCGGGATGCCTCACCACCTCTGCTGCCAGGTGGCTTCACCCCTCCCTTCGGCCAGCGGGATGAACTCTGTGCCTGCTGTCTGGCCCTGGCTCTTCAGCCGGGATCCAGGAGGGAAAAATAAAACTCCTGGGGACACAGATGACCCCCTCGTCGTCCTACTTACCAAGTATTTACTCAGCACACAGGATTGAAAGTCAGAGAGTTTTCTAGAGGCTTTGTCTCCCCTCTTCTCTCTTTTTCTTCCTTCTTTGGAAACTACCAACGGTTAGATGTGTGCCAGTGACCCTGAACCTGGGAAGAGGTGCGAGGGCTGTTTGTGGCCCCAGGGCTGTGGTTGTCTGCAGTGGGCACTCACATTTGGGGGAGGGTCCCTGGAGGCCCATGGAGACCACCCAGCAGTAGCCTCTCCAAAGGCAGCTGGAGAACCGGAGTCCCACACAGAGCAAAGGAGGGTCTGGTCTGGGGCTCACCACACCGGGCAGGTGGCTCATAACCCCGTGACCTGGTGACTGTGCTGCGCCTAGCTGGCAGCTGGCATTCTGTCATTAAGAGAGCAGACATGGGCTTCAGCCAGAAAACTCTCGTGCCTCCGAGAAACTCAGGCCAAATGCACGAGTGATGGTCACTGGTGTCAGGAACCAAACCCTGGCAGGTGGGCTCGCCGTCCGGGCCCTCCTGTGCCGTCAGCCCTCACCTGGTGGCCTCTAGACAAATGCTGTCACCGAGATGTTCCTTGTACTTACTGAGAAAAAATTTAGAGGGAAACAATCTGAGTTTGTAGGGCAGACCTAACCCAGAGGGGGGTCTGGAGAGGGGCATCGGCACCCACATGTGGGCCTCTTCAGAGCCCCTGGATGCACGGCCGTGGTGGAGAGAGAGGAGGTAGCTGGCATGGGCAGGGGGCGTCCGTCCGGCAGAGGCTTGGCCTTCCTGTCCCCGGGCTGGGCAGTGGGGGAGGGGATGCTCTGGAGGGTGGCGTTGGCTGGTGGGACGTGAACCATGAGCTCCACGTCAGGTGGAAGTTTAGAGAAGACAGAGCTGTGAACAAACGAGGTGCGGGGAGCTCCTCCCTGGGTGGCGGGGGTGTTCAGGCCGCGATCTTGGGGGACCGCTCGTCGGTGACCTGCAGTGAGGGGTCATCCTAGCGCAGGGGCTGACAGACTGTTTCTCCAAAGGGCCAGAGAGTGCATTCTTGGCTGTCTGCTGCAGCCACTCCGCTCTGCCACTGTGGTGTGCTGGCCGGCCCCGACAGGGTGTAAACCCATGGGCAAGGCTGTGTTTCAGCAAAACTGATAAAACAGGTGGGGGAGGGGCGGGTTTGGCCCGTGCCTTTGCTGAGCCCGTCCCCCTGCTCCAGCTCCGGTCCTCAACCCTCTGGGAGCTTTTACGAACGCAGAACCTGCGGCCGGAACCCAGGGTTCTTTCTGATTTAGTCGGCCTGGCGTGTGGCCCTCGCATCAGACTTGTTAGGAGCTCGGGGGCGAGTCTAACATGCGGTCACGAACGTCCAGGTTGCCTTGCGAAACCAAAGCTTTGTGTTTCAAGTTCCCTGGGCCAGCACGGGCTGGCTCGGTTTACAGACGTCCCAGAGGTGAGGCCCTCGGGGCCGACTTTATCTGTGCTGCAACGTGAGAAGGACGGGTTTGCGAATGCAAAGGAGGTGGACAGCCCTGGTGGAGGACGGGCCACCCTGCTGGAATCCAGCACCGGAGCCCTGGGTCGGGGGGCACATCCACGGAGCAGTGTGTGGTTTACGTTTAAAACCACCAACAAAACCACTCTCTTCTTTGGACAGGACTTGAAGACTGTCCTGTTTGGGTCCAGCGTTTGCTGCTTCAGTGAAGAGTGGAAACTCCAGAGCTTTTCGTTCAGTGACGCAGCCCCGCTGAGATACGGCATCGTGCAGGTCAAGGCAGGTTGCGTTTAAGCTTCTCCAGGACCTTCCTGCCGTCCCCTTGAAGATAGGGTGGGGCGCACCCCGTTTGGTAAAACATACGAACGTTACCTGGGCTACGCAGTGCTGGCCAGCCCTCATTTGACGGCCGTCGCCCAGTGCAGGACCGTCACGCGGCCACCAGGACAAGAGCACGGGCCCTGACTGTGGGTGCTGTGTGGTGCTGGAGTCCCCTGAGAGGGAGCGGAGGGGGCCCTGCGTCTGGGGGGGGCGGGGCACTAGAGAGGGGCCAGGCCGAGGCTGAGCGGGAGGACAGGGTTTTGTGGGAGAAAGGATGCTGGAGGCCAGCGGAGCAGGAACAAAGTGGGGTGGGGGCGGGGGCGGGGGCGTGTGAGAGTCTGGGGGCTGCAGACACGGCAGAGGCAGCAGCGTGAGGAGCAGAAGCACGGGAGTAGGCGGTGTGACGTAAGACCGGGAGACCGAGGTCGACTGTGGCGGGATTTGAACGTGGCCTATCCCTGTTTCCCAAGATGTGCACTTGAAGGGCCAACAGACCCTCTAAATGCTGCAGTGGAACTGGGTTCCATTTCTCAAGACCCAGGAGCCCCCCGGCCCCCTTATTCCACCCGCACTGCCTGGGGGGAACCCAGGACAACAGCTTCTGTCCCCAGCACGGCCGTGCTCAGCTCGTCTTCTTGTACCCCCAAGTCAGGGGCGCCCACTCATGGCCTGCTGCTCTGACCGCCCTGTACTTGTTGGTGCCCACAGGGATGAGCTCTTCAAGGACCCCGCTCGGGCTGACGGGGGAGGGGACGAAGACATGCCCAGTGGGTGCCGGGGCGGGCCACGGGCTGGGCAGAAGCAAGCTCATATAAGCGGGGGCTGCCAAAGGGCTTGCTTCTGGCTGGGGTGGTTGGGAAGGGCCTCCTGGCGGAGGGGGAGGAGGCTGTCAGGGTGGGCCTTGCAGGCTGGGGAGACCACTGGCACCCTCAGCCTGTGGACGTGGAGACATTTCCTGGGTGACTGGAGACCTACGGTGACATCCCTGGCTCCACATTCGCTAGTTGTGGAGAGTCACTCCCCCCCATCAGACACTGCAGACTCGCTCCTCCCACGGGTGACGGGTGCTGGGACCGTTGTCATCCCCTCTCTGGGCTGGGGGTCAGCACCCTGTAGGAGCAGTCACCGCGTCAGAGACCCCTGTTTCTGAGGCCGTGGCTTGGAGGGGTCCCTGTGCTCTGTCACCTGTGGGTAGAGGCCGGCTCTGGAGGTCACTTCACTGGCACTCACGCGTGTCCTTCTTGGCAGGGCGGTCCCTGCGGGGTCCTGGCGGCCGTCCAAGGCTGTGTCCTGCAGAAGCTCCTGTTCGAAGGAGACAGCAGAGGTGACTGCGCTCGGTAAGTCAGCTCGCGTTACCGCCAACAACCTGCTCGTCTTCCCCGGAGCGTCCAGAACAAACAAGCAAGGAAGCATGTGTGTTCCTTGTGCTTCCCGTCTCCTGGAGGGGAAATGGCGGCTGGCGAACGGGCCTGTGCCGACTGGTGCAATGGGGGGTGACCGGTGCAATGGGGGGCGTGCGTTTCACGAAGGCGGGGCGGGCGGCCCGGTGCTGTTCCTCATGGTGGCATTGCAGCCGAGGCCACGCCCCCTCCCCGGGTGCGGCGGCTGCCCAGCTGCCGCCCACACCCACGCCAACCTGCTGACCCTGCCTGAGTCCTCCCCACATTACCTCACCGCTGCTGACCGCCGGCGCGCATTCCAGCCGGCCCCACGGCGCACTGCTGCTTCCACGCCCTCGGACGTTTGTTTTTCCAGCTCGCACGTTAAGTGTTTGCACATGGGCACCCCGCTCTCATTCTCACCCGCTCAGCGGACACTTCTGGAACAGTTCTGTGCAGGCACGCGTGGGGCGGAGGCTCTGCTCTCCAGAAAGGCCCCTCCAGGGCGGTGGGTGGGTGGGCAGAAAGCTGCGGTCTGGCGGCACGGTGGGTGCAGAGGCACATGGACCGGGAGGGTGCTGCGGCCGGGCCGGGGCTGGCACGTCCTTGATGAGGAGGCGCCTCCTCCCCTGTCCTCCCCGCGGGCCCAGTTAGTAGCTTGTTGTGTTTTTAGTTGGAATAGAACAGACAGAAAAGTGCGCAACCCCAAACTGCACAACATACACGCGTTCTGCTTAATGAGTTATCACCACCAAACGCATGCCCGTGATGACGTCATCCAGATCAAGGAAGGAAGTGTTGCCTGCACCCTGGACGGATCCACCTGCCCAGCAGACCCCTCCATCCCCCTCCCGGCAGCTGTAACTAAACAGACTCGAACATTGCGGTTTAGTTTCGCTGGTTCCTGAACTTGAATTAAAAGCACTTGTTCTTTGAACTAGGCATTTCGCCCCTTTTCTTCTTTTAAGCTTCGGTGTCGTGAAGACAGCAAGGCCTGTTCCCCATTTGCTCAGGGTCAGACTCCGGGGAGAGACCCCGGTCCCCGAGCTAGACGTCCCGCGGAGCGTGCTGCGAACGAACTTACCGGCTCCCGTGATGTCGCCTTAGACAGGGTCCACCCGAAGGTAGCTTGTTGTGCTTGGCATTGTATGATTTGTCCAATTGCTGTAAAAAGTGACAATCGAGGTGTTTTTTGCTCAAGTCAGAGATGCTAACCACAAGCACAGCGATGTCTCGCTTGTCTTCGTTTTCGCCGCCCCAGGTGCATCCCTCGCCATGTCCGCTGGTGTGGGACCATCCCCACAGCCTGCCCCGCAGGGCCAGCCCACCAAGTGCAAGCAGGCTCCAGATCCAGGTGTGGGCAGCGCCCTGCTGTGGGCCCCGCCTGGAGGCCAGCACAGCGCCCTGGGCTCCGGAACACTCCTGACTGCCTGGGGCATGCCCAGTGCGGAGCCCGGCTGCCCCCTGGGGCAGGGACTTCCACTGAGTGCACCTGTCCCCACTGGCCTCACCATCCCCCTCACACTGGAAGGGAGCATGCGGGGGGACTTAGCAGGTGCTCGGAGGGGAGACAGGCTCAGTGAAACCACTGTGGCCTTGCCCTCTTGGCACCTACAGTGGAACCTGAGGGCCAGACCAGCAGAAAGGAGGTCACAGGGGACACGCAGGACGCTAAGGTTCACCTGGGCACAAAGAGGGTTGGGCAGGCTTGCTGGAGGCCTGACCTCGTCATCCTACCAAGATCTGGTGGAGCGATCTGGTGGAGAGATCTGGTGGGGGACAGGACGGCTGACTCCCCTTCACTCACACCCTTGCAAACGCTCGTTCCTCCTCGGCCGCCCTTCCCAGCAGACTGCTGACACTCCTTCCCTGCCCTCCAGGCCCTGCGTGCCGGCTCCTCAGCGCCCAGAGGCCGTGACTTCACTGGGGCCTTCCCGGGCCTCCCCGTTGCAGACAGACCCGGGCCTGCCCCCAAGCCCCCTGCCCCCACTAGTGCCTGCTCATCCACGTCGCTGTCAGCGTCCACCCGAAGCTGCCATCCCAGACTCAGGCCCCATGAGAGCGCGGGCCTTCCTGGGCCGCCTGGTTCATAGTCCGTCCCTGGCATCCGGCCCAAGGCCTCGTCCACGGGATTTCCTCTGAGCGAACGCAGGGGCGATATCCAGACCAACGGGGAGGGGCACGGTAGTCCAGTGAGGAGGACGGCGTGTGCCAGGGCCCGAGGGCAGGAGCAGGGCGGGAGAGGAGCTGAGCGTGGCCAGGGGTGGCCAGGGCAGAGTTGGGAGGGGCCAGACAAGACGGGCTGGCAGCTGGGTCAGGGACAGGCTGCCCGGGGGCCTTGGGGCCTGGCCGCCTGCTCGGGTCAAGCCTTGGCCTTGGCCCTCCTGGGAGACGTCTTAACAACTCTTCAGCTCTGTGCTCCTTCACAGCTACTTTCGGACTGGGACTCTGGACTGCTGAGAGAAGTTGTGGGTCGTGTTTCGATAGTCTGGACAAGGGTTTTGAGTTGGTTCCAACAATGGCCCTGTCCGCTCAGGGAACTAGGCAGGACTAGTCCGGTACTGCCCCCCCTGCGTGCTCACTGAGGGGATGCGAGAGCCCCCTGCTCCAGGCACATCCTTGGGGTAGAGTCTGCTCTCCACCCCAGACACAAGAGCCAGGGCTCGGGAGGCAGAAAGCCATCCTGATTGGGGGCCGAGGTGGGCTGCGGGCGGAAAGACACCTGCCGGCTGTGGGGGGTGAGGTTCTACCCCCCTACTGCCCACTGGCCAGCTGCTGGCCGAGCGTGGACTCAGGCCCCAGTTTCTCCTGACAGGTGTCTGTCTGTGTAAGCGCCAGCTAGATGGAGAGCTCCGCCGGGGCTCCGCTGGGGAGGGGGCACGCAGCCCTGGTCCCCAGGGCTCCCTGTCTGCATGACCCTGAGACAGGGACTGAGGCAACCTGGACCGGAGGTTCAGGGCCTCCAGAGGCCCTCGGAGGCCAGGGCGGGAGGGGGGGTCTGAGGTGCGTCCTGGGGGTAAGGTCAGGCACAGGGAGAAGGAGAGGAGGGGCTGCTGGCTGCTGGCTGCTGGGGCCGTGTGCGGGTGTGCCTGGCGGGGAGGAGCCCCACCTGGGGGAAGGCTGCCTGCCGGCTGGGGCCCCTCCCCTAGGGAGCATTTGTGGTGCTCCCTGTGAACCCCTCCCCTCTGCCCCGGGCCCTGCCGGCTGAGCTGCTCTCCAGGCAGGTTAACCGCAGCGGGCCAGCTACCTGATCCCATAGATGGCAGAGCAGGCCTGCGGGTGAGCACTCTTCATACCCAGCCGAGAGGGAGGGGTGGAGGGCTTGGCCCAGTGACCTGGGCTCTCTCGTCCAGCCGGGGCTGCTGAGAACACCTGGGGGGACTCCCAGAGAGGGGGCTCTGAGGAGGGCACGCCAGGGGAGGCCCTGGGGGAGAAGGGCCGACTCTACAGAGATGTGAGCCTGCTTTGGGGCCACAGGGAGATTGGGGCTGGGAGTGGAGAGCCTGCCTGGATTCAGGCTGCAGTGCGGGTCAAGCAAAGGCCAAGGGAGTGAGGGGCTGGCGAGGGCGGAGGGAACTGTGAGCCGGCCAGGGCAGAGTCGGAGCTGATGCTCTGCTGAGGTGACCGCCTGCAGGTCAGGGGCCCCAGGGAGTTGCCTGTGCCAAGCGGGCATCGTGCAGCCTGTAGCTGCCCTGCTGAGGCTGGGGGAGTGCCTGGCTCTGTGCTCTGTAGCCTGTCCCCAGCGTGGGGGTCCTAAAGAGCGCAGGGCCAGAGACCTGACGGTGTGGGGGAACAGGGCCCCCCCCACTTGTGAGTCTCTGTCTTGCCCGACGCTGGCCCTGCACACAAAGTCCTTGTGAATGAATCGTCAAGGGCTGTGTGAGCGAGTAGGACCATGGACGTCACTTGCCGTGGTACATGTGGGGAAACTGAGGCCACACCTGGCTTCAGCGGCAGAGCCAGGCCTGGCATGGGACACCCAGTCGGTTGGTCGCACGCACTGCTGTGCCCCAGCCGGGACTCGGCAAAGGGAGAGCCCGAGGGGCTGGGAGGGGCCCAAACCCCCGAGTGCTGGCCGCCCAGACGGCCTCTTGCTGACCGCCTCGGGCTCAGTGTTTTATGAAGGGCTGCCTGTGGAACCTCCTCCTTTTCCCCAGTTTAGAAAAAAAATCAATACTGAAGAGTACACAGAATAATACAGCAAATACCTGGGGACCTGCTGTCTCATGTGAGCAAAGGGTGACCCTGGCAGCTCTGCAGGGACCTCTCAGTCCCCAGCTCCTCTGGTTTCATTGATTTGTTTCTTCAGTTTTCATACTGATTGACCGGGCCACTGATGTTCTTCGTGGGCCTTGAACGCTGATGTGGGTTTGAGGCTTCAGCGCCCCCTTTGACCCTGAAATTCCAGGATGTCAGAGATGGCCCAACTTGAAAAAAAAACAGCGGGCACACTCCTGTCTCCTCAGGGACGCCTGGTACAGCACACCGTGTTGGCAGCGGGCGAGCTGCGTGTGGAGGGCCCTAGGGCCCGTGGGCTGAGGGGCCCCCGCGTTTGCCGGCCTGCGGGCCTGGGCCTGCGGGCCTGGGCGGTGGAGGCCCCCTCCCCGAGTGCTCCCTTCCCAACCGGTGGGGAGAGGGTCTTGTGAACAGCACCCTGAGGGTGTGACTCTGCCCTGCTGTGAAGCCACGTGGGAATAAGGCTTCTCCGTGGGGGGCGGTGTTTTCTCTGCCGGGCTGTCTGTCTGCATTAAGGCCCGTTCCATCGGGCCGGCCGCTGGCCTCTCTCCAGTCGGGGAGGACAGAGCCCGGCAGCAGGTCAGGGGTTTTTCCACTCGAGGAGGAAGGGTGGTGCCAGCCGGCCAGCTGGTGGGAAGGGACAGGCGACGGGCCCGTACTGCCCTGCAGGTGCAGACAGAGCTGCAGACAAGGACACTGTCCTCTCGCCTCCACTCCTCCGAAACGGGGGGATCTGAGGCCCCGAGAAGGAGGGGCTCTTGCCCAAGACGCCTCCAGGGACATTGGGAGCAGAGCCAGGCTGGGAATCCAGGCCCAGGGGCCCCCAGGCCCGCGGCCTTGGACCGTGAGGGGGAGCAGGTGGACGCACCGACCTCCATTCACCGCCCGCCGTCCTCGGAGGTCTCCATAGCTCAGACTAGTCAGGCTGCTTTGAGGTAATTAGGGTGGAGGCGTCTCTGAAAGACGTGGGTGGTGGTGGCAAACGCAGAGGGAGCTGTCTCCCCACCCCACCCCTCCCCCAACAAGTGCCTCCACCCTGCACTCCCCCGGGGGTTGGACTCGTACAGAAACTCCTGTGGGCGGAGAGCCCAGCCAGGAGCGAGGTGCATGGCAGGGGTTTGATGAATGCGTGTCTGGCCGATCAAGGTAGTACAGGACCGTCCTTGTCACCGAGCTGTGGCCAGCGAAGGCAGACACCGAGTTATTTGGAGACAGTGGAGTGGGTGATGGAACACATTGTCCCCCTCCTCGTGATTTCCATCTGGCCCACACATGTGCACACACCCCTGTTGGCCCCGGGGCCGGCTCAGTGGCAGGATGGCTGGACCGGAACGATGCTCAGAGGCATCTGGCCCAGCGCCCCGTTAGTGGGTGGTGAGGGCAAGGGGCCTCCCAAGGCCCGGGAGCCAAGAAGGGAACCCAGGCCTGACCGCTGCCCTCACCCCACCCCGCCGTGCTTTCTGGAAAGCTGTGTCTCACACGCGCAAGCTGGAGGAGGCTCACAGAGGGATGGAGAGACTGGAAAAGTGATTAAAAGGAGCCCAGAAAAGAATGAGGACTTTTGTGCACAAACACAGGGGTTCGGAGCATCTGTGGCCAGGAGCACGGCGCTGGAACCCCGGGCTGGAAGGCAAAGGGGGGCTGGTTCTCAAAGTCAAGTGCGCCAGACGGTTGGTTCCATTTCCCAGGTTCTCCGCCCTCCCTGAATGCTGTGTTAAGATTTCCAATTTTTACCGAGTGATTTGGGACGGATCGTTTAGTCTCTGTGCCTTAGCTTTCAAACTTTGAAAAGGAGATTATATAGCACCTGCCTACTCCCCAGGGTTGTTTTAACGACCCTCCAGAGCCCTGGAAATGGAAACGGAAAGAAGCGTCTGTACCGGCTGTTTCCCCTCCTGCCTCTCATTTGCCTGGCCCGCCGGGGGCCTCTCAGTTACCCATTTTTTCCTTCGTAAGCGATCCCTCTGCCGTCTTCGGCATCGATGACTACCCATCCCTCTCACAGTCCTTCCGTTCTTCAGACTGTGGGCAGCACCGCCGCCTCCCGGCTCCGCCTCCTCTGCCTCCCCACATCCTCGGCCACCTCCGCTGCCTTTCCTGTCCTCTCTCCGGGCAACCTTAGCCACTCCAAGTACCAAGGAGCCCTCGGGTGCTGGTGGCCCGCAAACCTGTGTCCAGCCCTGGCTACTTTCCTGGGCTTTAGGTGTGTTTGACAGCTTTGCCTGGGTGTCTCATGGGCGCCTCTGACTGCCTTCCCCTCCCCGATCCCTGATCCCCACCCTGTGTTCTTCATCTCGGATCCTTCCTCTCCCACGTCCCCACACTGTGTGACTTCTTAGCCACTGGTCAGTCAGGCCTCAGCCTGCAGCTGTGGTCTTCTCTCCTTGTGGCCGGCGGGGTGAAGACCACTGCTCACATAAGCTGTTGTCTCCAGGGGTCCAGGGGTCCGACTGGGCGTGGCTGGGGCAGGGCAGTGCCCAGCCTCTGCCCAGGATGACTTTCCTTCCTCAGGTGGCAGCAGGTCTGTGGCCCATCGGCTCGGCCTCCTGGGCTATCAGAACACACCACCCTTTCTTACGCACACCCGAGGGCCAGCCCAGTGTCCACTCCCCGCTGCTCCTCCTCCAGCCCTGCCCAGCGCCCCTCCCTCTAAGCCTTCCCTCGGTCCTCATCCGAGGAGGTACCTCCCAGGCTCCGCAGGAACCCCTCCGGGTGGTGTAGGAAAGGGTGGGTCGTCTGCCACAGGGCTGAGCTGTCCCTAGTTCATGTCCCCATAGACATAAACTCACTTCCTTTTCCATCCTCAGGCAGCTGCAGCCTTCAAATGCCCACAGGACCCACTGCCTGGCCCTGGCCATCGCGGACATTTTGTGGCGGGCCGGGGGCCACGAGAGAGCCGTGGTCACACTGTAAGTGCTTCCCGGGGCTGTGCTGCTTCCCAGGGCTGTGCCGCCGCCACTGGACCTCGGGCTGGCCCAGCTGTGGGCAAGCTGGCTGGGGGTCATTGGGATAAGGACCACACCGTGCGCCCTCCTAGACCTCTGCCCTGTGCCCCACGCTGGGGCCAGCCCAGAGAGTCAGCCTGGTGTGCGGGGCAGCCCGCCCTGGGAGGGGGTCTATGTCTCAGGACGGGGTTGGGGTCGGGTCTGCCCCGCCTCCCTCCTGGGGGTCTCTGGGAGAGGGAACCTGCCTGAGGAGACCTCTGGCCCAGCAGCCAGCTCCCCTGATCTGGAAGCCTCAGAAAACAGCCTCACAATTGACCCAGTCCCCCCCGATGAGTACCCCCTCCCCAGTCCTCAGAGCACACTCGTTTGCTCTGTCACTTGGACCCCCTTCCCCTGGGGAGGGAACTCGGGCGAGGGGTTGGTGGTGGAGCCAACAGCCTTGTCCCTGCCGCCTCCTCCCTGCCCAGACGGAGGGTGCCCTCCCAGAAGGCACTGGGACGGCTGCCGGCTTCAGGCCTGGTGGAAGCATCGCTCCGCAGGCAGGTCGGGTGGCCAAGTTGTAGTGAAGGGGCGCCTTTTCCCAGCGCCTGTGCTTGTTGGCTCTGTGACCTTGGGCGACCGACTCCACCTCTCTGCACTGCATCTGTTGACTCATCTGGAAAATGGGGGTGATAAAGGTTATATCATATGGGGATTATGAGGGAATTGATGAGTCAGCGTAGATACAATGATGTACGATAAATGATAGTACTGCCTGTCTGTGTAAGTCATCAGTCCATGCAAATAGATGGAAACAACCACAAAGTGGTTGGACGCTGCCTGGTGTGTGCACACTGGTGCCGCGTCAGTAGGTCACCACGCTCATTGTCCTGCCGAGTGCTTGTCCCAGCACCTGCTCCAGCTCACGGATTAACCTTGGCCCTCGGGGTCTGCCTGGCAGCCTGAGAGCAGATGGGGCAAAAACTCACTCTCTTTCCGTTGGACAGACGAAGAAAAAGAAGCCCAGAGAGGGGCAGTGGCTGGTCTGAGGCTACACAGCAGGCTAAGAGCGCAGGGGCCCCCAACCCAATCCCGGCCTCCCGTCCACGTCTCCCTGGGCGGTGGGTTCGGCGGGAGCCTCAGATGGGACAGACAGAGGCTGGAGACTCTGACATCCCCCAAACGGGGGGGCGGGCCAGCATCCCTGCGCCTGGGGAGGCGTTAGTCGGTTGTAGGAGACGGCAGCCTCCCTTCTGGGGGGACTGGGGTTTGGTCGCCCCGAGTGCTCTTGCTGCTCTCCGTTCTCTGTCCCCGTTTTTATCCCTTCTGCTAGTGGCGCACTCTGGCCCCGGCCTAACGGGGGAATGAGAACTCCTTGGCCGCCCTCTCTCCCCCGGAGCCGCCTTCTCATTTGTCCTCATTTCACGGCACATGTGGTTTCGCCCTGGCTCACGGTCCCGTCTTCTTTCCGCACACAGGGCTCATGCGTCTCCGTTTCCTTTTTAGGCCTTCAGGGATGCAGCAGTTCATTCCGACGGGGAAATACAAAGCAGACGGAGTCCTAGAAACAGTACGGCTCTCTGGAAAACTAGCACGCAACCCTTGGCTTTGTGTGGGCCCTGGCTCCTTTCACATAAGTAAATCCTTCCTCTGCCGGGGAGGGGCCCGCCCGCCCTGCGCACGGCCCTGGCCTGCAGAGCCCTCCGCCGGGGCTGGGGTGGCCGTGGTGGGGGCTCCGGGGACGGGCTCCCGCCAGGCTGGCTTTATGGCCCGAGAAAGGCTGACGGGCAGCCTGGGAGGTCGAGGTTGTGCTGAGCCGAAGTCGCCCCGGCACGTCCGGCAACTGCGACTGGGGTAGACCCAGCCTTTCTGCGGCCCTCTTTGTGTCTCCGAGTCCTCTCGAGCTTGCTTTGCGGGAGCGAGGGGGTGGGGTGCAGGGGAGGGGAAGGTGGAAGGTGCGGAGGAGCGTTGACAGGGCCCCGAATTGGCCGTCAGACCAGACCCAGGGAAGACGAAGGGAGGGACAGAAAATGAGAGACGGCCGGCAGCACAGACACAGTGACTTCCCCCCAGTTAACCTGCTCCTCACTGAGCGGTGAACCAGTTAACCTCCCCTTCACAGAGGATTGTTGCTTCGCCTGGTTTGTGTTATCTGACCTGGGTCTGGGCCCCGGTGGTCCTGGGAGCCTCTGAAGGGTCCCACTTGGTTGGATGTTTTCTCTGAAAGTAATTTTTCCTGACCTGCCCGAGAAAGCAAGAGACACTCATGTCTGCTGCTTTCCACTGGGCTCGGGACTTTGCCTCCTGGGCTTAGAACTGGCTGGGATGGCGGCTGGGATGGGACACCTGCTTCTCAGGCCCCCGCCCACCCGCCCCAGGTGCGTCTCGGGTGCCCAGGGCTCGGGTGGGTCACCTGTGCTTTCGTGTCTCCTCAGCTCATGCTCCACACTGTGACCTGCTATGAGGAGCTGGCGGCTTTCCTGCAACAGAGCATCCATCAGGTATGCACAGCGGTGTGGTTTGTGGGGCGTTTGTGGTTTGAGGGGTAGAGGCTGGGAAGGAGCTGGTGCCGGCCCTGGGCTCCATGGCCGAGGGCGGTGGGTGATTTAGACTGGGGAAGCATAAACTTGGGGAACGGGGGTCCAGTCGCTGCCATTGTGCCGTTGAGGGCTGGCGGTGGCTACCAGGCACAGGACGCTGCCACAGTGGGGTTGCAGTGAGAGGTGGAGTGGGGTCCGAGTGCAGGGGAGCAGCTGACAGACAGTGGGTATGAGAGCTTTGTCTCTGTCTGAGGGGAAGCAGCCACTTCTGGAAGCAGAGGACCCTTTGTCAGTGCGTAGGGGGCCCAGCGGCAGCGGGAGAGGAGACAGGGGTGTGGATTTCTGGACTGCGTCGGAGGTCTGGGCACTGTGGGTGGGGAGGGTGGGGACCCTGCTCAGCGCAGGCCCTTCCCTGGGGCCCTGGGGGGCCAGGCAGGGCCCCCAGACACCTCGTCTGCTGGAGGCGAGGTGTGCCCCCACTACGGGCCACGAGAGGGGGCGGAACTTGACCTGGGCTGGGAGCAGCGCGGTCAAGGGCTGAGGGCTTTGGAACTGGGGCTCTGGTCCGAGTCTCTGTGAAGCACTGACCGAGCTGAGTGCCCCGGGGGAGAGAACGTGGTCTCTGGAGCCGTTGGCCTGGTTTCGTGTTTAGGGTACAGCCCCCGGCAGCTGTGTGACCTCGGGCCTCAGTTTCCTCACCTGTACGGGGCGGGGGGTGATAGGAGCAGTGCCCGCCTCAGAGCACCACGCAGAGTGAGGGCCCAGCTCGACATCCCCAGGGCTGGTAGCATTCCTTGGGGGTGTCATGTTCACCGCTGTCATAATTATGTAAGGTGACCTTGACAGAGGCCGCTAACAGGCACACAGGAAGGAGAGGAAAGCCTCTCCTTGCAGAGGGAGGGTGCAGCGGGGCCCCAGGACAGGATACTGCTGGCCCCGAGGCCCCCGACTGCACGGCCTTGCCGTTCTGACGTCCCTGTGTCCGCCGAAGGGTGGAGAGTGTGCAGCCACTCTCTGGAAGATAGGCGACCTCTCCGGGCGTCCTCTCTGCCTTCCCTCCAGCCTCCGGGCCACAAGCTCGGCTCTCTTGGGCTCCAGAGAAGGTGTTGGAAAGTCCGGTGGTTAGCCTGGAGGGCGGGAGAACTCACCGGACGTGGGAGCAGGCCGGTTGCTCTGATGGTCACAGTCCTCTCTCCTGGCACAATTCACTAAAGACGGGGATGTGTCTTAGCCCTCTTGGCACAGAGGCCCCATGGACAGGGAGGAGGGACCTGCTGGGACCAGGGGAGACAGGTGTGTGGTCACCGGGGCACTGGGCCACCTGAAATCCTCACCCCCAGAGCTGTTGCCTGGCTCGGGTGCCGGACCCTGCCCCGAAGAGTGCTGCCTTTCTGCACTGGCTGCTCTGTCCGGGCGTGCGTGGGAGGGCTCTGATGTGGGAGCAGACTCCTGGCCGGGGTGTCAGGAGTCTCAGGCTGGCTGTCACTTGCTGCCTGTCCCCGCTCTCTCTGGTTCTCCATGGACATAACCCAGTGGGTCATCTGCCAACTCAGTGTGCTCCCCACCTAGCCCAGGGCGGCCATAGTGGCCTGCAGCAGGGACCCGAGGACCTTGGTTGTGTGTGGCCTCAGGAATGTCACTGGGCCTCAGAAACGTGCTTCTTCTTCTTTTTTTTTTTTTTAAAGATTTTATTTATTTATTTCCAGAGAGGGAAGGGCGGGGGGAGAGAGAGAGAGAGAGAGAAACATCGATGTGAGGTTGCTGGGGGTCTTGGCCTGCAACCCAGGCATGTACCCTGACTGGGAATCGAACCTGCGACACTTTGGTTCGCAGCCCGAGCTCAATCCACTGAGCTACGCCAGCCAGGGCTCAGAAACGTGCTTATTTATTTATTTATTTTAATCATTGTTCAAATACAGTTTTCTCCTTTTTACTCCCAATCCAGTCCCCTCTCCCACCCCTTCCCACTTCCCTCCCATTACCACCCTCCCCTTAGTTTATGACCTTGTGTCCTTTAAGTTTGTTCTTGTGAACCCTTCCCACTGTCCCCTTAAATTCCCTCTCCTCTCCCCTGTGGTCACTGTCAGCCTGTTCTCTATTTCAGTGTCTTTGGTTACATTTTGTTTGTTTCTTTGTTTTGTTATTTAGGTTCCTGTTAAAGGTGAGATCATATGGTATTTGTCTTTCACTGCCTGGCTTGTTTCAGCTTAGCATAATGCTTTCCCAGCTCCATCCAAGCTGTTGCAAAGGGTAGGAGCTCCTTCTTTCTTTCTGCTGCATAGAATTCCATTGTGTAAATGTACCATAGTTTTTTGATCCACTCATTTACTGATGGGCATCTTGGTTGCTTCCAGCATCTAGCTAGTGTAAATTGTGCTGCTATGAACATTGGGATGCATAGGTTCTTTTGAATTGGTGTTTTAGTATTCTTAGGATAGAGTCCCAGCAGTGGAATTGCAGGGTCAAAAGGCAGATCCATTTTTAGTTTTCTGAGGAAGTTCCATACTGCTTTCCACAGTGGCTGCACCAGTCTGCAGTCCCACCAGCAGTGCGCTAGGGATCCCTTTTCTCCACAACCTCTCCAACACCTGTTGTTTGTTGCTTTGTTTATGGTGGCCATTCTGTCTGGTGTGAAGTGGTATCTCATTGTGGTTTTAATTTGCATCTCTCTGATAGCTAGCGATATTGAACATCGAGAAACGTGCTTCTTAAAGAAGAAACGTTAGATGCAGGGGAAGGAATGTCTTCCAGGGTAGGTGCCGGGCACTCGGCATAAGCAGAAAGGAACCCGATTACTAAACAGGCCCGAGCGCTGTGGTGGCAGAGCAGCGCGCCTGCCACCTTTGCGCGAGGAGCAAAGCCTGCTGAGGTCGGTGTGTGCGGCGTGACCCGGGAGGCCGGAGTCACACTGTCCGGTGAAGCAGATCTTGCAGCCTCCGAGGCCAGGACAGGGAAGTGACCCGAGAGGCTTCTGGAAGGCAGAGGAGGGAGGGGTTCCTAGGGTGACCGACCCCACGTCCCAGGCATCTGAGGCCCCGTCCCTGCCGGCTGATGGCCCTTGGGCGACCGCTCAGCAGCAAGGTCTTCCTCAACCTTGAGTGTAAGACGGGGCCTCCCCCCTCCCTTGGCCCGTCCCCCCAAGGGTGTCCATGAAGCCCAAGCAAGACAGCAACTGTGAACGAGGTCAGAGCAAGAGGCCTGTGCCAGGGGCGGTGGCCGCCCCCTTTCTGTCCGCCTCTGGGCACCGCGCAGCCCGCCCCGCCCTGCCCTGGGCCCTGGGTGCCTGCGGTCGACGGCTGGCCTGCTCCCTGGAAGGCCGAGTTTCCCCCGCAGCCAATGTTTGTGCTGGAAGCCGACGCGCTGCCTCAGCACTGCCCTCAACAAATCCATTTTTCATGGCCTGGGCCTGCGAGGGCTTCCTCGTGCCAGGCCTGGAAGTGAGCGCCGGCCCTCGCGGCCCAAAATAAATAGCCTCCCTGCTGCGTTTTCATTACCGCTTGCCTGCCCTCGGGGCGAGATGTCTGGCGGCCCCCCACCTCCGAGAGTGAGCGGGGAGGGAGGGCCACCTCCACCCCTGCCTCCGATTGGGGTTCCTTGGGGGGCGCAGTCTCTGCGGCCGGAGCAGGGCGGGGGATGGCCCCGTCCTCCCAATGGGGCCAGACATTTTTCCAGTCCCTAGCCATGGTTTCCGGCCTTGCAGTGTTGCCGTCTGGCCCTGTGGTCTCCCATGTCTTGGCAGCTTGAACTTGATGAGATAATTTTAATAAAAGTTTTTTTTTTTAAAGAAAATGGGATGTTGGTGTCATTCAGTCCTGTTCCAGTGAGGGCCAGAAGCCCGGGCGGGGGTCATTTCCTCCCTGTCTGTCGTCCCACCTACCCAGTTCTCACGGAGGCCCTGGCCAGCTCTCGCGAAGGCCCCCTGAGGGTGTTCCAGTCGCAGTGGGAGAGCCCGGCCTGGGCAGGAACAGCGGTTCTTGCGGAAAGCCGGGGCTTGCAGTGGGCTGCTGTGTCCCTTACTTCGCTGCAGCCCTGCGAGTGGGCGGGCACGGCAGGCACGGCCCGGGGGCAGCAGGCTGAGAAAGGGCCGTGGCTTCCTCAAGACAGTGTGCCCGTCCAGGCAGAAGTAGGCAGGCATCTTGGGAGGGGAAACTGAGGCCAAGAGAGCGTTGCCACCCCCCGAGGCAACACGCACTCACGTCTGCGCTCCAGCTGCAGGAGGACCCGGGCCCGTGCGGTCGGCAGAGCGAGTCCACAGACAGGGCCTTTCGGGGCGTGCGCCGTGACCTAGGGGAATATGCACAGTGGGTGTCATCACCCTCATTGTGCAAGGGGGGGAAACTGAGGACAGCAGAAGTGGTGTCCCCGGCCTGCTCTCGCAGAATTCAGATGACATTGATTTAAGGTTGTTGTCGGTTCATTCGTTGCATTTCTACTTCCAGAAAAGATGTCAAGTGACTCACTAAAAAAAATGACGTTCTCAGGGCTCGTCTGTGTCCTGACTACCGTAAACCTGCCCCCACTTCCCTCTGGGCCGTGGCCCGTGGTGCGTGCTTTTCCTCCTGCCTGGAACAGCGCTCCCTTCTCTTCTGGTTCCTCCTGGTTCTTCCTGGCCCCCGGGGCTTCCGTTCAGACTGCGCCTCCTCCAGAAAGCCTTGCGTGACCCCCCCGCCCCCCACATTTGTTTGCAGAGGACTTCCCTGCCCTATTCAGTGGCTTACTGTCCTTTCTTCCTCGAGTTCCTCCTCATGAGGGCAGGTCTGTGCCCGGCGTTTCACAAGGAAAGCCTCAGCAGCAAGCAGCCTCTTGGCCCCGAACTTCCACGTTCTGTGAAAGCCACCAGCCAGATGAGGAGACTGGGGACAGAGAGGTTGAGAAGTGTCCCTGAGGTCACAGAGCTGGGAGTGGCAGAGCAGGAATTTAAACGCAGGCAGCCAGGTTTAGGCTGTGAGCTCCGGTCTGCATTAGGGCGAGGCAAGTAAGCTGCTCACCTCGGGTGCAAAATTCAAGGGGGTCCCTGAAACCTCAGTAATGAGAATGAATAATATTGTAGTGCAGTACCTAAAAAATAACCAAGTTAATGCAAAAAAAATCCACGAGGAACAAAATACAAATTCTTTTGAAGACCGGATCTGTCCTCCCTCTTGCCCAGCTCGCCTCGCCGGCCCCCCGACCTGACTGTGCTCCAGACCTGCTCGCTCTCTGCCACTCTCCCCGTGGCGTGTTCTCAGGGGGCAGGCATCTGGAATCAGGCGGAGCCCCCTGCAAGCTCACCAGGCTACTTACCAGCTGTGTGGCCTCGGGCCACTCGCTCAGGCCCTGAGCCCCAGTCCCCGCACAGGCCAGAGGACGATGGTGGCAGCCCGCACGGAACAGTCTGTGAGGGTCTGACATGTGACAGTGAGCACAGGACGCTTGTGTTGCTAACGGAGGCTGCTCCCGCCGCCACTGTACCCTGGGCTTCCAGGACCTGGCGGTCAGGGGTGTGCTCCTTGGTGGGCACTGTGTCTGCTCCCACTGTCACTCGGGCTGGGGTCTTTTCATCCCTTGGGGGTCTGGCTGGTGGGACCTGGACAGGCTCTGCCTAGGGGCCCCCTAGCCAGCTCCGGGGCTGGCCTGGGGGCAGCTGGCTCAGGGGCCGGCTGCTCCCTGGGCTGCGGCCGCAGGGAAGTGAGAGGAGGGAGGTGCGGGCCTGATGGCGCTCATTCCTTTCTCCTCTTCCCAGTTCGAAGCCGGCCCCTTCGGATGCATCCTGCTCACCCTGTCGGCCATCCTGTCCCGGTCCACGGAGCTGTGAGTATCTTCCTCCCTCCGAGGCTGGGGCGGCTTGTCTGTCTGTTCTCCGCGCCTCCCCAGAGCCCAGGGCGGTGCTTGGTGCCCGCGCAGTGGGTGCCCACAGCGAGCCTGCTTGGAGGGGTGAACGAGGGTGGGTGGAGGGGAGGGAGCGGCTACATTCTACATGCCCGCGTGTTCACCGCCACCTTCTCTTTGGCCTCCCCACGTGTGCGGCGGAGCGTGGGGTACGCTTCGGCACTCCGTGGCTCCCCTGGGCCATGTGTGGGGAGGGGCACTTGAGTCTGAAACCTGGGAGGTGAGCGAGCGAGTGGCCCTGAGAGCTCAGGGAGAGGGGCACCCTCCCTAGGCCAAGGCAGTCCGCAGGCTGCGAGGCTCCTGTCTACAGCCAGCTCTGCGCGGGGCCTGGGGGGCGCCCAGGGCCTTGGAGGCGGAGGGAGCGGAAGGCTGGGTCCCGGCCCCAGGCATCCTGGTCAACAGCGGCCTCTGAGCTGCTTGAGGGCTGGAGTTCCTCCATCACACTCCCTCCCCAGGGGCTCTCTATGCTTTTTATCCTTTCTTGTCACCTGGGCATTGTGTCACCGGGGAGAGTTCGGATTAATGGTGCATTAACAGTCTTGTGAGGTGCAATTGATTGCCCCACTGCGTTCCAAGTGGAGAGCAGGCCCCAGGGGTGTGGAGACCTGGGGGAATGCGTTTCTGTTTTGGGGGTGCTTGGAGTGGGGGACAGTCTGGGCCCAACCCTAAGCAGGTGGGCCCCAGGAAGTGGGGACGTGGCAGGCATCGCCGCACAGTGCCCGGTCCCGGAGGCCCCCGTAGGAGGGGACAGGCACTGGCTCCCGCCCGTGGCTGGGCCTGGGCCGGCCCGTCCATGCTGCCCGTGGCCCCTGGTGCTGCTGGGAGCAGGGTGGCAGGGGCCCTGAGGTGCCACCGGCCTGCCTGCTGCTGACCTTATTAAGCACATGTGTGTGCACAGCGTGGTCCATGGCATTTCCCTTCTAATCCTGCCCTAAGGATGTGATTCATTCCTGGCCCAGGCTCACGTGCACGGAGGCCATAAGCTGCACCGCCTTCTCCCCAGGCCTGGGTTTGCTAATCCCTGGGCTGGTGGAGTTGTGTGTGTGTGTGTGTTGGGGGGGGTGGTTGCTGTCACTGGGAGTGGGCGAGACCTCTGACTTCACTGAGGGGAAGCTGAGCTTTCCAGAAGGGCCAGGCCTGGTGATGTCTGGCTGTGTGATCCTCTCAGCCTCAGTTTCCCCATCTGCACAGCAGCCCCTTTATTTTGGGGGTCTAGGCCCTGGCTCAGCAGCCTGGGATCTGGCCCCACTGACATGCCTGTTCCTGTGAGGAGTGGCTCTGGCTGTCAGTCCAGCTGCAGGGGCTTTGGGACCCCACCGTCCAGTCTGTTCTTGTTGTCCAGAGCTGGTGGGACTGCTTCTGTCCCCTCCCCGCTCCGTCCACCTGCGTCGGGCACCCATGGGGCAGGTGTGTGGGGAAGGCTGCCTTGCTGGACCTGCAGAGCCTCGTGCTAACGGGCCTGAAGTTACAATCCTGCCAGACCCCTTCCTGTTCACTACAGGCACATGCGCACAGACACGCACAGAGGCGCACCCCGGCACACTCACGTGGGGTTCAGCTGCAGCCACCTCCTCCCGCTGTTCTCAGGGCTGGGGAGGGAGAGGGTGTTAATGACAGTTTCCTTCCCTTCATGGCCCCTGAGGACCCTCCTGGGTCTTGGGGGTGAGGGTTTGGGTCTCCCCTGACCACTTTGGCCAGCCTGCCCCGCCTTCCAGGGGGACTGGCCTGGAGACCTGCACTGGACTCGGCAGGACACTGGTTGGGTTGTCGTACTCCCTGGCCTCTCCGTCCCCTTTCTGAGGAGGCAACATGGAGGACATGCTCGCCAGCACTGGGCAGGAGGAACGGCAGCCCCCCGCACCTCGGGAGCTCTCGACCCGCCTGACCCTTTGCTCTGACACGTCAGGCACGGAGCTCTCGCGTCTCTGCAACAGCCCTGCTGGGGGCACTGTTGTGGTTGCGGGCACCCGCTCTGTCTTTCCCAGGAAGCGAGGCTGTGGGAGGTGAGTGGCTTGCTTGCCCCAAGGTCACACGGCTCCACCGGCCAGCCTGACACCAGACAGGCTCTTTGGGTTTGCTGTTTAAGGACCTGACCTTGGGAATAAAACCGACTCCATTTCAGGCTGACCCTGTGACCCTCGGAGCCTGCGCCTCTCTGTAAAATGGGGATGATTCCCGCCTCACAGGATGAATTGGAGAAATAAGTGTGTGCTTGGCTCGGCTCCTGCTGGGGAGCGAGCCTTGGGTGACGGCCCCCGCCAGTCCGCTCCCGCCTCCCTCCGCTGTGCTCGGATGCCTCTCGCGTCCCGCCCTGTCTGGGCTTGGCGCCTCCTGGTGGGGGCGCGGCCGCAGGGACGCCCTGCAGTGGGTGACGGGTCCACCTGCGGCTGTGGTCACCCTTGGCAGGCACTTCCTGACCGGCCTGGGGGCTCCCGGGGCCCTGCGCGCTGTTCCTCACTCAGATGGGGCGGGAGAGGGAGTGACCGGAGGGCCCATCCCCCTCGGGAGTGCACCACCCGGGGGTGTGCTGGAGCAGTGCCACTCAGCTCCCTCTTGCGTGCTCAAGCTCAGGGTACCTTTTAGGTGGGCTACCTGACGGCATCTGGCGGGGCATGGGGCAGGCCGTGGGCCACGTCTGGGTGTTTCTCCAGACCCACGCTCCCTGCCCCCTGGGCAGCCACTCCACGCTCCCACGGGGCTGCCAGGGACGGGCGTTGGGGTGGGGCTGGCCCATCCCCCCTGGGCTCCGGGGGGCCTCCTGGAGGGGCGGCCGCCGTGATGATGAGTGACGGGACTGACCGGGGCACAGGAGTAGCCCAAAGTGTCACCGCGTGGCCCAGAGCCTGTGAGAGGATCACACCGAAACCACTTAGAACGCCACTTAGCATTCCTGGCGTTTCCGAGGGTCCTCTGAAGGAGCTGTTCTCGCCTCCGCCTCTGGGGAGGGCGGCTCCCGGGACGGTCCACGCCCCTCCCAGGCCGGGCACGTGGCTGCCCCACGCAGCTTCCCTGGGCTCCCCAGAGCCCCCGGTCTCCGGTCTCCGGCCTCGGGAGGAGAGCCAGGCCTGGCCCCAGGCTTGTTGTGATCTGCTTGGCAGGGACGGGCGGAGCACCTCCTCCTGGCCTGCCTCCGGGCTGGCGACCTGTGAAGGCCTTTGTTCCTGGACCTGTGGGCGCCCCGGGGGGTGTCACCCAGCACAGGCACCGTTTGTCGGAGCGAGCGGGGAGGCTCGTCCAGGGCAGCCCAGGGGGTGGCGAGTCACACAAAACAAAGTGCCCCCTCATTCTCGGGGATGCAGCTGCAGGTCCCCACGTCTTCGCTCCGCTGCCCCCCGGCCGTGTGGCCAACCCAGCCGGTGCCCCTGCTCTTTCCTCGCTGACAGGAGCGGGTGGGTTAGTGCTTCTTCGCCTCCATTGTCGTGTGATGAGCAGCGTTGGTTTTTTTCTAGAGAAACAGTCCCCCGAAGCCCCCTGTAGGAAGCAGACGAAGCAGAACGGCTCTGATGGGCACGGCGGGGTGGGGAGGCCCCTGCCGGCCCCCCAGCCAGGTGCCACGCCGGAGCCCCTGCCGCGGAGAGGCCCGCGCTCTGCAGACAGCCGGCTGGGAGTCTACCGGGCCTTCCTGCTCTGGGTTCCAGTTCGGCTCTGCCAGAGGCGCTGGGGCTGTTTCAGGGCCATCTGTTACTGCCTTGGGCAGTCGACCACACGTCCCGGTGGCCCAAAGAGACAGCAGAGCGTTTCAGGTCACGTGCTGCTCACCCAGGGGGAAGGGGAGTCGGGCTGGGCAGCCCGCCCGTTCTTTACAGACGGCGTGTGTGCGTGCGTGCATGTGTGCGTGCGTGCAGATGAGAGACGGGTGAGGCTGTGTGGGGGTCGGTGGTCGTGTCTGAGATTGTGGGGCGGGCGACTTGATTGTGTGTGTGTGTGTGTGAGCACGCAAGTGTATGTGTGTGGGAGTGTGTGTGTATGTGTGTGAGAGTACGTGTTTGGGAGTGTGTGAGTGTGTATGAGTGAGTGCATGTGTATAGGAGCGTGTGTGCACGTGTGTGAGTGTGTGTGAGAGTATATGTGTAGGAACGTGTGTGCACATGTGTGAGGATGTATGTGTTTGTGTAGCAGCATGTGTGAGTGTGTCTGTGTGTGTGTCTGTGTGTGACACTGAGGGCACGGCCGTCTCTCCCTCCTAGCACAGTTCTCAAACTCAGGCCCAGGGGCAGCCCATGATCACACCAGAGTCCAGGCCCGCTGTCCCCACGGTCCCCGACCCTGAGGGGGGGCAGGGGGAGGGCGTGCAGCCCGGCACCTCGCCCTCCGAGGCGGGAAGACAGGCGGCGGAGCGGCCTTCGGGCGCTGCTTGTCCCGGGCCCCCTGCGAAGCCTCGCGGAGGTTTTCTTTTTTCCCAGTGGGTTTCCTGCCCTCTGTTTTCTTCCCTCAGATCTTAGGTTGCTTACAGTAAATCTCATACAGGCTTCCATGCCCCCAGCTCCCCTGGGGTCCAAACCGCGCTGCCCAGAGCTTTCCCAGCACACTCTCACGAGCCCCAAGGGGACTCGGGGCCCTGGGGCGGGGCGGCTCCGAGCCGGCCAGTCAGGCACGGCTGGGTGCGCAGCCCCTCGGGGAGCCGAGGGCTCAGGCGGTGCCTGCCGGCGGTTCAGGCCTGGGGGTGGGGGTCAGCGTGTGAGGAGGACCTTTTCACGGAGCACACCCTTGGCCCTCGGTGCAGTGGCACCTCGGCTGCCCCGAGGCCGCCCTGAAAGTCCCAGATCGGCGGTGGTCTGCCAGGTGCCGGAGTGAGTTTGGGGCAGCGCGGCCGGGCCACGAGGGCCAGGGGCAGTGTGCACAGGAGGGCGGCTCTGCTGCTGTCTGGTCCTCGCCAACCAAGGGAGTGACCAAGGGAGAGGACCCGGGCAGCACAGTGTGCT